TATTCAACAAGAGTTTTCCAGACGCATTTTGGTTGCGTAGTTTGAACCACATTTTCGATATTTCGAATTTTGGTGATTTTTTTTGCATCACATGAAATGGAGTGGAATAGAGGAATATAGTTAATAGCATAATACAAGAGACGCTACACCAATATTCACTGGAATCCAAAACATTGATTATATTATAATAAAATTAAGAAGTCTGGCAATGCTTGGAAGGCATACTAGTTTTTCAAAGATTTCTTCAGCATTCCGGTGAAAAATTTCAGTTGAATACTGTCCAAATCTCCCTTGTCTTCGATTTTGACGCTGCAATGTTTTTTTTTCTTAAAGTTTTCTTCTTTCTTCTATTGCTAATTGATTATTGCACCAGCACCAGCAGCGACATTAGCATCTTCCGAATCGACTACAATATACTTGACGTGGAGATACAAAACGAAATTAAAAAAATACACAGCGAACGCATCTCGTTCGGTTCGTTCGTGCGCGCTAGGCTCGTTGGATTCGTCTTGAGAGCACATTAAGAGCCACAAGTGAGACAAAAATATAACCACCTACACAAAGGGCCAAATATTAAGTTTCAGTCAATTTCACTATCAACAAATGTTGTAAATATTTATAAAAGATCGTCGTTACGTCTTCACCTTCAACAACCTTAAAAAAGAAGTTAAGTACCTTAAAGCCCGGATACTTTTTCCTTATCGTCAAGAAGCTGGTCAAGAAAATCTCCAAAAAAGATAGAATGCGCGATCAGAATATTTTATAGTATATTATGCAGAAAGTTTGACGCCATTTTAGTCACTAGTTTCATTTGGCACGAGCGAAGCGGGTGCTTAATTAACGATTGACTGAAGAAGTTTATCAACATGTTACTTTCTACATCCACTGACTGATATGTGCTGACAAACGTCAAAATAACATTACTATGAAATGTATGACGTAGCTCGGGACTATAGGTAAACTGACTTTTTAAAGTGACACTTTCCACACGCTTTACGCAGACTTACAAGAGCACAAATGAGTACTCACTAAGTGGTGTTGAGATAGTCGAACTAGAAAATAAAAGTTTCGTAGAATTTTGTTGCTCTTTTATTTTACTTTTACTTTATCACACTTAGATATCTCCCATTGCCTGCATGATGCTAATTCGTAGAAAAACTAATGGAGATTGAAGATATTTTCCTCTAAATCACTCATATGGATTGTAGAATAATAAATATCTATATCAACAACTACACAACACAAAAATTATTTTGGATTCTCCACCAGAACACTCAAAAGACATAATAACTAGCACTCTGTTAAATATGAGTATTTTTGAGGAACAAAAGAAAAAAAAAAAAACGAGTATGGGCCAGGAGCGGGATTAAGTATCGCAACGCTCCAGGAGCTATTAGCTTGGGCAAACCAAATAAGGTTCAACTTATACTAAGTCATCGATACCAGCACCACCCACTTTTCTTAGATTTGTTTACTTTATTCAACTCCTGTCGTTATAGAGTTTTTATTGTTTCCAATTTGGTCTTGATCAGTACCAAGTCCGTTGCTTCGAAACCATTTCTATTAATTCTTGCAGTAGATTGCCAAAAGCAGTACCCCTTTTCACAACACAAATACATTCACTGACATGACCGTCAGAACTGACAAACGTCAAAACTCAAGCCGTGAACTTCACATAGTAAAGTGACGCTTTCTGCACGCTAAATCGGTGTATAATTAGGTATATTACAGAAGGGAGTAAAAAAACTCAGCAGCTTAGCATGCACAGATTCGCCACCGCTCGAAGGGGCAAAAATTGCCGGCAGGTCTGATGTTCTGCGTTTATTCGACTATTTCATTGACCGAAAATGGAAAACTTTGGTAATTACTAACCTACTAACAATCCCATCCTACAACCTTTATCGTTCACGATTTCCAGGCCGGAAACGGATCGTTCGAATCTCATAATTGAATCGACGAGAGCCGATTAGGAGCGGCCGTAAAACTATGGCCGTGGAACGAGCCTATCAAGGCGGCGGCTGCATCGGCCAAAGCATCCGCGAGGAAACGACCCATCATTCTCCGCGACGCAATTACGAAAATTTCACCCTCCCGTGCCGGATCTGACCGGAATACAAAACAAAAAACGAGCTAATAAAAACGCTAATGGAATTCGCCGAAGACGGGTAGTAAACGCGCAGGGCAAAGACGACGAAGGCCTTAATTGCGTTCGGCCAATTCCGGGATTTCTCGTGCAGGGAAGGAGAAATAACGAACTGATAATAACCGGCCTCGTTGTGATGTTATTAGGCCGACCGACTCTTTATTATTATTATTTAAGGTTCGTTATTGGCTAGCGATTTGGGCGGCCATTTGAAGGACAATTATGTTTGAAAATTGATCATATTTATTATTATAAAGTGTAGATTCAAATATTTATATCAACTCCACAATATTGCGATTTTGTTATATTGTCGCCGAATTCTTCAAACAAAAAATTTATCTGAATTGGGAATTTTGGGATAAAAATTCAAAAATTGCTCTTCGGTATCACGCTGAAGTCATAATGCCAGTAGTCTTGAGTTAATTCTTTACCAATGAAATCGGAGCTGCCGAAGTTATTCATTATTACATTCGTAACGGAGTTGACGATGGTAGACCTATCCAATGTGAGCAAGAAACAGGTGAAAAAAATGGTTTCATTCTGAATGTGTAAATTTAGAAACTGTCCCCAATGCATCTTGGTAATGTAACCAATGTTCTGATTCAAAGTATTATATTATTACTTGTGTGCAATAGTTCAAATTTGAAAAACAGACATCATTGTAATATTATATATATTTTACATAAAAAAATATTGATATTTAAAGCTCACACTTTTGTTAATTAATATTTTAAAATAGTTATTTTGAAAGTACAAATTTTAAAATGAAATGCCAAATCTTTAAAGTGTGGATTCAGTATTCATAACTTTATAAGGGTCAGGATCAGGAGGATTAAACAAACTTAATGCTTGGGAACGTAATGGGAACATATTCCTTTATGCTTTAACAAATGAACCATGCCATATTCAAAGCCACAGCATAATATTTATTGATAAATTATTGATGCTTGACGTGTCTTCATTGGTTAAGGAAACACTGCTGTAAAAACGTATCTATATCCTATTAATACTTGAAGGTTATATTTTAATCTTTTCCCAATCCTAATCCTAATCCTAGTCCTAATATGTATGCACTTACAAATGAATAAATAAATAATACCCTATTAATAAATGATGAGGAACTCGGTTAAATAGTCAAATCCGTTGGTTCGGATCAGAAACTTTTGACAGCTCTCAAAAAAATTGCCGACCAACGTCACACGAATAAAACGTATTGTTTCATGCGCAATGCGGTGTCAAGATACCGGATTTAATCTTCCGTTTTTTGATCGATTCGCGCGTTCGTTTTTTCTTTTTTTTATGTCTCCGGTAAAGAGCTTTTCTACGATTCGGTATCGTCGGTGATTTCTCCGGATCGTTTTACGGTAATGGGCGAACCGCGAGAGCAAAAAGAATCGGGGTCAAGGTGGGAACGCGGCTTTTTCGACTGCGGTCTCGCGTTTTAATTAAAATTCTAACGACTAGTTTCGACCGACGTTCCGCATGGCCGCCCGCTTCCCGACTACTTTATATATTTTTATTTTGACGATGTGATTGCGAAACGGAAGCCGATCATCTCCCCTAAATTATTCAATGATCAAACGAACTTACCTGGTAAGTGAAGTTCGATCGTAATTATATGTTACACCTCTTCGTAGAAATCAATATACGTAGTCCCCCTTCTAGTCGCTAGGTGGCACCACAGCTTTAAAGCAGAGCCAAAAAACTGTGGAATAACTTACCATGGACGGTATATTCGCCATCTATGGTCTTAACCTCATTCTATTTTAAAGCCCGTTTATAATAAATTTGCCAAAGGGCATTTTAGTACTGTTCAGAACAGTAAATTGGGCGGGAATGGGTGATTTCTACGAAGAGGTGTAACATATAATTACGATCGAACTTCACTTACCAGGTAAGTTCGTTTGATCATTGAATTATATGTTACACCTCTTCTATGAAATCAATATACGTAGACTTTCAAAGGCAACTCAGCAAATTTGTTATAAAACGATTTTATTCGGCTATATAAGGAAATCCAGAAAGTTTATGAAAGCCTCGAGTACAAATACAAAATAAATGGCTATCCGAGAAAACAAACCTTCTGAAAAATTCTATGTCCCAAATGTGGCATTAACAAAAAGGCCTGCACTTGCTGTACAAATAGGTCTATTATAAAAAAGGGGAAAACATTTAGAGCATTCTCACCAATCTGCCGTTTTTCCAATCATATCAATTGAAACACCTTTACAAAACGCAGACGATGTTGAGGCATGTCGAGTTCTGTGAACAGTAAAAATAAAAGTGTAGACACCACTATCTTCTAAAGTTATCTTTATTCATCTACTTTTGTTGGGTATAGTTGCTGCCCTACAAGGCTTTTTAAATGTAATGAGTAAACGAGATTCACTGCCTCTTAAAGCACTGGCCCTCTCAATAATATATTTGAAACCACACAAAGATTTACATCTTCATATTTATGCAAAATTAAAAAACAGGTCGAGTCTTATTTATAGCTGAAATCTTAATTTGATTCGTTATTCTAATTTCTAATCCATCTGGAAATGATTTTATGTTGACCAATTCTATAAGAGAGAGCGTTTGGACTCTATGTACAATCGTTAACTTCAGTAGGAGAAACTAATTTAATTGTTTTAATGACAGTTAATTGCTTTAATGACAAGTCATTAGAACGTAACCCTTTTACAAAATCAGGGACATAACTAGGGCCCCAAGTGCTGTTATATCTTGGTTTACTTGGCCTTAGATTATAAACACCTTAAAAAACCTAGTTAGATTTGCATTGTTAAATAAACCTGATCCAAAAATAAGGCCGTGCTGCACTGAAAGAACTCAATGAGCCATAGGACTTGCCTTGTCTAAAATGAATAGTAAGGAAATCCAATACAGCCTAGGTGAGAAGTAATAACACTCCACTCCCCTCCTTTCGTAGAAGCTCCACCAAAGTTTAAATGCATGCAGGTATTAAATGCCTCAAGGTAGCGCTCTGAACAGATGATAGAAAAATATCCAGCAAATCTTCTGGAATGCTTGCCTGACAAAATCCCTGCAGCCAGGGTAAGGGATTTCCACAAAGGGTGACCTCTCCTGTCAAAAGAAGAAGGTAATTTGTCTGGAATTAGAAACAATAAATAACTACAACGCCTCCCATGAAAAAAAAGCAAACCAATGCTGGCTGTGCCCGTAAGGGATTACTGCGATCCCTGTAGCTCAATCAGCCTTGATTTTTCGTAAAACAAGTGGCAACAAGCAAAACGGGGGGAAAACATAGAAGAAACTGTCGCTCCAAAAAACAGTAAACGAGTCTTCATTAGATGCCTCCGGATCTGGAAATTAGGAAATAATCTTTCCGCATTTCTTACTTAGGCGAGAAGCAAACAGTTCGATTTATGGGAATCCAAATTTGCTTGTTATTTTAGCAAAAGCATTGTCCGAAAGGTACCATTCACCATCAAAATTCAAATTCGTGGGTTCCTTATGCGCTTCAAAATTATCGGAAGATCGAATGTAAGATGCTTTAACCCATAACCTCCTTTCTTCACACCAACCCCAAGGCGCCTCGAAATTTCGTTTAAAACAGGAAATTTTACTCACCCTATTCTATTTACATACAAAATAGCAGTTGTGTTATCAATCCTCAAAAGTGTCTCGCAGTTAGTCAAATACGAGGCGAAGCATTAGAGACCAAATGAGGCCGCAGTTAATTCTAGTGCATTAATATGAAACTGAGCTTCCCTAGGACTCCAAAGTTCTCTGGCACAATTCCCCAACCCAAAGGAGTACCATCTGAGAAAATCTCAAGTTTGTAACATTGCTGCCTTACAGGGCATTCAGGATTCTGTAAACTTTTTAGCCATCACATAAAATCCCTCCGTAAATTACAAGGAATTATCATCCAAATATCATAATTATCGACAGAGTCTTGAAGGGCTAGATATTTGATTCTCTCAAAAATTCTTAGTATATACCCAACTGTAACAAACTGCTGGGCAAACTGAAAACTAGCACAGCACAAAGCTCGGCAAAGACTCTTATTTCGCAACGGTTCAAATTGCAAAACTTACTTACTCATCAGAAAAAACAAGTGGTGGGATTCAAAAAAACAAAACCTAAAAATTTACGGGATTTCGAAGGATGTAAAACATTCTTATAATTAATAACATAACCCAACCTAATCAGTGTGTTGCAAGTTACTTGAACATTTTTTAAGGATAGCTAACTATCACCAAATAGTAAAGTTATCTAAATAAACTATTGAGGGAAAAGCCTTGGCAGGGAGATAAGAAACCACAGATTTCATTAATTCTGTAAAGGCCCACGGGGCGGTGCATAAACCAAAGGGTAACACGTTAAACTGATAACAGAGAGCATCAAAATAAAATCTTAGAAAATTCTTTTGATTTTCAATTATTGGGACTAGAAAGTAAGCTTCTTTCAAGTCCAGAGTGGTCATAAAGGACTTCCTTGTGAAGAATGTTTCTACTAATTTTCTGTCTTCCAGTTTAAAATGACAAGTGTCAATAAAAGCATTCAGTTTCTTTAAATTTAAAACTAATCAAACCGAACCATCCAATTTTGAAACCAAAAAGATCTGTAAAATAAATTGATTCTTACAAGGTTCGCAAACTGCAATTGCACTTATCTCTAACAGGTGTTTGACCACATTACAAATTGAATCTTTTTCTTGTTGGGACCAAACAGGATCTGTCGTAATCAAGTCCTGTATAACTGGCCTCGCAAATGGAATTTTATATCCATCTAACCAAGGTAGAATCTGTGCATCTTGAGTTCTAGAGTTCCAAATGTCCCGAAACTCGTGCAATCTTTCAACAAAAGTACTTACTATTTTTTCCTGGGGACACAACTCCACCCCCTTTCCTCTCGAACCTTCCTGTATTCCCTCTTTTGAGGGTACAATGACTTTCACCCACTTCAGCCTTGCAACTTCCGGGAACGAAGTGGGACGGTCGAGTTTAAATTTGTATGCTATAAAAGCCTTGTTCCGGATGCACCTGACTTTAACTCGGCCACTAATCTGCAGCTAATCTGATTGATTTGAGCCTATCAGCCAAATCTTCTCCATATAAACAAGAGTGCAAAGAAGCATCAACGAGCACTTCCTTCATACAAGGCTGCATTTCATTTGAGACCAGCGAAAGGCTTAACGCGGCTGAACTTCTATATACTGAACCTAAATGGTGTATTTTGCTTAAAACAAATATTGCATTACTCAACATTTCGATGAGAAGTAAGTACTACTCATCCTTAACCGGTTTCAAAAGCAAGGTCAAGAGCGTCCTACCAACCACCATCAAAGCACCCCTTGTTGCAGTCAGTCTCTCATCCCTTTTCTTTCCACTTTTGTTGATGGCAGATTTCATCTGCACATTCAATTTAGGAGAGTTATTGAGCGGCAATTCTTCGGCACAGGATATCAACGCAAAAGGTCACTGAGACAATCTTCGGACACACCGGATTTCAAAAAGGTATTAATCTGACTTGCCAAAATGTCATGACACATCAAACTTTGTGTTGGGACTATCGACCCCATAGCTTAAAGGCCATTTTGCTTTAAATCCGTCTCAAGGGGCTCAACAATGACATCAGAATTAATTGAAGAGCCTAAAAAATATACTTACGATGGAGTAAATGCATTCCAACAGCCATAAAAAATTGTTCATTATGTCCCAGTATCCCGGGCGCCTCATCCATAACCGGACGAGCCAGAAAACTCTATTTTTTCGATGTCGAAAAAATATAAAACCATATGTATGGCCGACCCCCTCACAAAAGGATTGCTTCCAATTGTGAAACACTTACATACGACTGCTGTCGTATAAGTGGGAAAGATGGGGGGTCTTTCGAGTTCTGGGGATTCCGATCGGAACCCGGACGATGAAGAAATCGTCTCCCAATTGTAAGAAAATCTCGTTGATGGGAACCACGCCACTAGCGATTATGTAATCGCGGATGGAAAGATTTAATCTTTCGTCGTAGGTAGGTTCTTTCTTCATCCGATAAGGAATAACGTAAATCTCACTTGTACTTCTCCATTTAACTTCCAAAAACGCTGAAAAAAGCTGAAAACACCGACGCCGAATAAAAATGAACATGTGCCACCAAAGCACAAAAAGAGGAATGAGGTTAAGACCATAGATGGCGAATATACCGTCCATGGTAAGTTATTCCACAGTTTTTTGGCTCTGCTTTAAAGCTGTGGTGCCACCTAGCGACTAGAAGGGGGACTACGTATATTGATTTCATAGAAGAGGTGTAACATATAATTTTTATTTTTGGCCCTAGGTGTCGCTTCAGACATTTCTTCAAATAACCTCCCATCTGAAGAGAACTCTGAACTATCTGAATCATATTCACTCTGGTTATTTTAAAAATCCAGAAAAAATACATGTATATGAAATAAATTTAAAAACAGCAATAGTTTTACGTTTGATGAAGATTCACTGCAAAATTTTAAACGTTTCTATCAAAAGTCAAAGACAAAAAAGCTCGCTTAACAACAGCTTAAAATCAAACATAACAAAACAAATTTTTACATTTTTTACAATTTAAGTAAAAGCAAATGTCAGTGCGCTTGCGTCATCTACTTGCTTGACAAGAATCCCGCAGTCATCACAGCTATAACAGTTTGTGCGTGTGTGCGCGTTTAAGAATGTATTATTCATTTTCAAAAATAGTCCATTTCGGCATAGGGAACCTAATCTAAAATATTATGTTCTTGTATTTAGTGTGGGCTAAACGTATCGTGCAAATGGCGCGTGTTACGCAATCCGGTTACAAGAGCATAAACAATGTCTACCAATCAAAACACTCCACTCGTCTGGTATACGCAATAATCGGTATGCGACGTTTTAATTAATTCATTCATTAAAATAACAAACGCGACCGGTGTCAAAACAGTTGCCGGGGGTGAGGCGCACACAGGGTGCGCCAAACATGTTTGACTAACGAGTAGACACCAACGATGTAGTAAAATCAAAATTTAGGCATCGCACATTCTGATGTTTTATTTAAAATAGAAACAATTTTTACATAGATAACGGCGAAGGTGTAGATACCGTTACCTGATATATCTAGTTGACAAATTCCTGTTACGTTGAAAACTAACAACCACCCTATACATTTTGCGAAATAGCTTTCGAGGGAAACACCTGCGTCGCGGTATATACAGGGTGCGTTCCTCGTTGATCGCAAGCCAATAGACCTCGCGGTAATTACCAGCGGGAATAAATGGGTTTGGTTTAACAATATACGCATACCTACCGGTGTGGCCGTGGTTGTGCGATGGTTTGGTACGATAAACCTTCGGTTTTGCAAAGTGTGTTCATGGGAGCGGTAAACACATGTTGCGTCGCACGCTTTAAGAATAACACATCGTTTGTGTCAAACGCTCGCATAATAACTTGACATGAAAAAATACGTAAAAAACGATCTTCGCGATAACTTCCACTTTTACTAAGAAAATAACGACGCAACTGGGCAGCGGATAATGATATCTCTTTCTCATTCTTACCAACGCGTCTCGCAACTTTATTATCCATTTTTTCACTCATTTATCTAAAGTTGAAAATGCTTTTTGGTTTCGTTAGCTTACAAATTCTCACAAATTGTTACACAAAAAAATAACTTTAACATTGCCCTATCCCCTAGAGACACCATGTGTTCGCATCAGATTGTTTAAATAAATTATTCGGAAGTTGGTCAGAATCTGTTGTATACGTTCTTGAAAATGATTAGGTCAGTGACAGACTTCTTTATTACATCGCGTTTGGACCACCGACGAAAACCACTCGCCCGTTGACAGCTTCTAATTGGGTAAACAAACGGCGCGATTATGATATAAAACAACTATACAAAAATTTGGCGATGCCTCCAAGAAGTTTCTAATTCCTCAAATCTCAACACCGGGGATTTCCGGATCGACGGCCGTTCCGCGTGTCGAAATCTCGTCCATAATTCATCGTTTTAATTATTTTAATTCGTCTGGTGTACCGAGATCGAACGATTTCAATACAAAGATGTAATTTGAATAGGACGCGTTGAAAACGCCGAGGTTTGAAGGCTTCGACATCGCATGCGGACCTTGTACAGGTTCTATTGTTCTCTCGGAACATTAAGCAGCTACAAGAATAAGTCATTGTTGGCGAAAAATTTCACCCGAAAAGGCTGGACCTTATTCGCAAACTGTCGCAAGTTAATTATCATCCCAACCTTTAATGGGCCAGCTGGGAGCTGAGAATTAATTATTTTAATAAAATAGTATAAGGAAAGAGTATTAGTTCTTAAATCCATTATTTCGATTGATAAAAATCTAGTTGTAAAAGAATAAGCATAGTGCAGCGTTTTTCTCCGAGTATGCAACCAATTATACGGTATCGCCACTTGAGATGAAAATTAATCAATTTTGGCCAGCGTTCGTGCAAAACATTTTTTACACACACTAAGAAGCTTGTTGTCTTACAAGTTGATGCACCGGATGTATATTAAAACTATTATTTGTGCGAAAGAAGTAATTAGCCACAATGGGAACGGATTAAAGTGCAAGTGGTATGCAAATCGTTTACTCGAAAAAAAAACGCATAAAGATTACGCCTCGGTAAAGGTGTGTATCACGCCCATTTCTCCGCTACGTCGAAGGACATCGGCAACAACAACAGCCGCGTTGTTGCCTCACTTTATATTACAATATTATTATTATTTCACTTGCTAGCCCGCGTGTCTCGCAAGCAAATCGCATTAGCATTTACTTTTAATACCGCGATGGTAGAGCCTTATTTTTTTCTTCTCCTCCTCCCACTTTCATTTAGAATATTAAAAAAACCAATACGTAGAACTTTCAATGAAAATGAAAAAGAGAAAAATGTAACCAAAGTCTACGCGAATATATTATTAAATAATTGGCATACAACTAACTATAACGAACATGTATCTGTTTTCGAGTTAAATCGCTGAGTAAAGATCAATCAATCAATTTCAGGTATCAAGTATCAGATAAAAAATGCTGTTAAATACGCAACTTTTTCGAACAAAATATGTTCGATTATATGTTACACCTCTTCTATGAAATCAATATACGTAGTTCCCCTTCTAGTCGCTAGGTGGCACCACAGCTTTAAAGCAGAGCCCAAAAACTGTGGAATAACTTACCATGCACGGTATATTCGCCATCTATGGTCTTAACCTCATTCCTCTTTTTGTGCTTTGGTGGCACATGTTCATTTTTATTCGGCGTCGATGTCTTCAGCTTTTTTCAGCGTTTTTGGAAGTTAAATGGAGAAGTACAAGTGAGATTTACGTTATTCCTTATCGGATGAAGAAAGAACCTACCTACGACGAAAGATTAAATCTTTCCGTCCGCGATTACATAATCGCTAGTGGCGTGGTTCCCATCAGCGAGATTTTCTCACAATTGGGAGACGATTTCTTCATCGTCCGAGTTCCGATCGGAATCCCCAGAACTCGAAAGACCCCCCATCTTTCCCACTTATACGACAGCAGTCGTATGTAAGTGTTTCACAATTGGAAGCAATCCTTTTGTGAGGGGGTCGGCCATACATATGGTTTTATATTTTTTCGACATTGAAAAAATAGAGTTTTCTGGCTCGTCCGGCTATGGATGAGGCGCCTGGGATACTGGGACATAATGAACAATTTTTTATGGTTGTTGGAATGCACTTACTCCAACGTAAGTATATTTTTTAGGCCCTTCGATTAATTCTGATGTCATTGTTGAGCCCCTTGAGACGGATTTAGAGCAAAACGGGCTTTAAGCTATGGGATCGATAGTGCCAACACAAAGTTTGACGTGTCATGATATTTTGGCAAGGGAGATTAATACCTTTTTGAAATCCTGTGTGTCCGAAGATTGTCTCAGTGACCTTTTGCGTTAATATTCTGTGCCGAAGAATTGCCGGCTCAATAACTCTCCTAAATTGAATGTGCAGATGAAATCTGCCATCAACAAAGGTGGAAAGAAAAGGGATGAGAGACTGACTGCAACAAGGGCTGCTTTGATGGTGTTTGCTAGGGCGCTCTCGACCTTGCTTTTGAAACCGGTTAAGGATGAGTAGTACTTACTTCTCATAGAAACGTTGAGTAATGCAATATTTGTTTTAAGCAAAATACACCATTTAGGTTCAGTATATAGAAGTTCAGCCGCGTTAAGCCTTTCGCTGCTCTCAAATGAAATGCAGCCTTGTATGAAGGAAGTTCATGGGAGGCGTTGTAGTTATTTATTGTTTCTAATTCCAGACAAATTACCTTCGTCTTTTGACAAGAGAGGTTATCCTGGCTGCAGGGATTTTGTCAGGCAAGCATTCCAGAAGATTTGCTGGATATTTTTTCTATCATCTGTTCAGAGCGCTACCTTGAGGCATTTAATACCTGCATGCATTTAAACTTTGGTGGAGCTTCTACGAAAGGAGGAGGAGTGGAGTGTTATTACTTCTCACCTAGGTTGTATTAGATTTCCTTACTCTTCATTTTAGAAAAGGCAAGTCCTATAGCTCATTGAGTTCTTTCAGAACAGCACAGCCTTATTTTTGGATCAGAATTATTTAACAATGCAAATCTAACTAGGTTTTTTAAGGTGTTTATAATCTAAGGCCAAGTAAACCAAGATATGACAGCACTTGGGGCCCTGGCTTTGTAAAAGGGTTACGTTCTAATGACTTGTCATTAAAGCAATTAACTGTCATTAAAACAATTAAATGAGTTTTCTTTCTGAAGTTAACGTTTGTACATAGTTCAAACGCTCTCTCTTATAGAATTGGTCAACATAAAATCATTTCCAGAAGGATTAGAAATTAGAATAACGAAGATTTCAGCTATAAATAAAACTCGACCTGTTTTCAATTTTGCATAAATATGAAGATGTAAATCTTTGTGTGGTTTCAAATATATTATTGAGAGGACCAGTGCTTTAAGAGGCAGTGAATCTCGTTTACTCATTACATTTAAAAAGCCTTGTAGGACAGCAACTATACCCAACAAAAGCAGATGAATAGAAATAACTTTAGGAGATAGTGGTGTCTACACTTCTATTTTTACTGCTCACAGCACTCGACATGCCTCAACATCGTCTGCGTTTTGTAAAGGTGTTTCAATTGATATGATTGGAAAAACGGCAGATTGGTGAGAATGCTCTAAATGTTTTGCCCTTTTTTATAATAGACCTATTTGTACAGCAGGTGCAGGCTTTTTTGTTAATGCCACATTTGGGACATATAATTTTTCAGAAGGTTTGTTTTCTCGGACAGCCATTTATTTT